CTGCGCCCCGAAACCGGCACAGAAACGGAAGCGGGGCCGCGGCGCGGAGCCCAGCCCGGCCGGTGTAACTTCAGTCCGGGGCTTATTTTTGTGTAACCGCGCAGGCTAACAGCAGATTTTCCTCGGCGAGGGAACTGGCAGTTGTCAAAAGTTTCCTGCTTGCGGTTTTCTCTTTTTTTTCGTCATGAACGTCATCGTTTTGGCGAAGGCTGAGGCTGCCTGCAGGATTTTGGCCCGGGGTTTTTTGGGGGAGTGCATAGCTTCTCATCTTTGCAAACTGTGAGACAAAGTGAGACCGTTCTCGGATTTTGAGCCTTTATTCCCGATTATTTTTTTCCATGCAAGCGTGTATCTCATCTGCAGAGGTGTAACTGTCCCAAAGCAGTTTTGTGTGTCCCCCCGTGTATCTGTAGGTGTGTGGAGGCTCGCCCGGCTGCAGGTTAGCGAGGTTTCACCGGGGTGGGTACGCAGGAGCTTGACGCCAGGCGTTACCGCATCTCATGCAGCAGTTGCTGGCAGAGTAATTCCTTCCTTTAGAAGTTTCCAGCTGGAGGCAGACTTTAGAGCTGAATTTAAAAATCCTTAAACAAGAAATAGAAACTAATGGAAATTTCACCCAGATGAACAATAGAGAAAAAATACTGTATTTAAAAAACAATGCCAGGCTCCAGTCTCCATATTCTTTCTGTTAGGAGAAACCTGGAGTTTTACATCGTTCTATTGAAGGTGGAAATCAAATGTCCACTTTCTATCACCAAAACTTATATCTTTGTATTCCTTATTAATGCACTTCAAATGGTTGGACGGGGCTTTCTGCAACCTGATCTAGAGGAGGGTGTCCCTGCTGATGGCAGTAGGTTGGAACTAGATGATCTTTAAGGTCCCTTCCAACCCAAACAATTCTATGATTCTATAATTTTCATCTTTCTTCTACTAAACTTGTTCTACCCTGGAAAAGTTATAATGTCATGTCCGTTTGTCATATAATTTATTTATTTGCCAGTACGGTTGTACCAGGCTACGCTAATGTGTGTGACCTCAGATGAGACCGAAGGAAAAGACATGTATTGGTGCGTGTCACACTTGACAGATGGTGATAAGTGACATTGGTGTGATCAGCATCCCGTGGTACACTGAGACATCCTGAGACACTGATCCTAGGAGATAGACCTGCATTCACATTCCTTTTCCTGCTGCTATTAACTTTGTTGATGTAGTGATTCCCAGTGAAGATAAGCCATAGAAAAATACATCCTTTTCTTAATTAATAAGCAAATGCTTATTTGGAAACAAACTTAGGCAAACCCTAAAGAGCCTAAAGAGACGCACTAGAAATTAAGAGATGTGAGAGAAGGAGTAATAAATAGGATCAGAAAAGGATTACTGTAGGGTTTAGTTCATGTAGTCTTTTGTAAAACTTAAGTGAAAAGTTTCTCCAAGTGAATCTGGACTCAAGTTCAGCACTAGCCTGAGAGTTATCTTCGTTCTTCAAACGGGCATATCATAGGCATGTTTTAGTTGCAAAACAAAGTTTTGTGATCTAGTACTGTGTAGAATTTTGCAGGTGGGCAGAAAGCTACTAAAACGTACCAGAAAAGTTCTGAAAGAGCTTTCATTTCAGGTATGAAGTTGTTGCATGCATCTTCACCTTATGTCTACCTATCCCAGCAGAGTTAATGTAAGAAAAGACTTCTAGCTAAGTAGTACTTTGTCATCTTAAACCATTATCCCACCCTTTTAACGTCCAAGTTGTGGGGCACCTGTTGGGTGGTGGATATGCCTGTGTAGTTATTTACTTCAAAGTCATGGGATACTCAAAGAATCCAAAGCTAGTTTATGAATGAATTCTAAAAATGAATTAAAATTTTCTTCCTGTAGTTGACTTCAGAATAAGCATTAAATCTCTAGAAGAGCCCAAGTAAACTGTTTGAAGAAAGAGCAGTTATCGAAGGCATCAGCTGAGGCTGCCGTGGCATTCAGGGAACAGTTCCCTCTGACATTCCCAGTTTTTCACCAGATTCTGGCATGTTTTGGAGCAGACCTAGCGCACTTCAAAGCGACTGGCAACAAACTATATAATACCTCCTCACTTGCAATGCTACGTTATTTGTAAGCAGCACGAGTTCAGGCGACTGTTCTCGAGATGCATCATTTGGGATTTAGTGCAATTCTGCTGTTCGGATGCTTTGTCTTTAATTCCTTGCTGTGGCATGGGAAGGCCTGTCCTGAAGGTTATTCAGAGATTATTTTATGAATAGGAAAAAAATATGTCTAACTAGAAGTTACCCTTTTAAAAGCATGTATTTTCTACATTTAGCATTAATGTAAATACAACACTAGCATAGTTTAAATTTTTAAATACTAGCACAAAGTAATTTAATTTTGAGGATTTACTGAATAATCAGGAAATAATAATAAAAAGGAAAGTGAAGGAGTTTCCTATTACTTGACCAAATTCATTCCACGGATGGCTTTAAGAAAAAAATTACACTGGATAAGGGAAACCAGCATTTTTATAAGCTCCTAGGAGCCTAATCTCACTTTTAACCTCCTGACAGCTCTACATCTCTGATAAGATCTAGTAAAATTCTTTTCCCTAATTTGATCAGTGAAATAGTTGCATTCTGCCCACAAAGCGAGCTAATTTTTATGTTTGTGATCATCTATGGTCTTGTTTTTCTGGATGTGCTCAGTTGCTACGCTATTCTCATTATACATTTTCAATTACTGCCAAATAATTTGAAATATTCTGTTTTTATAGCCCGACTGGATCCCACGTGGAATGGTGTAAACAGCTGATAGCTGCAACCATTTCTAGTCAGATTTCAGGGTCTGTCCCATCAGAAAGTGTGTCCAGAGACTACAGGGTAAGTGACTTGAAGAATTCCTTGATTTGTTTAAGATAAGAGAGTGAATGATGAGGAAAGTCCTTGCTACCTTGATTATCAGGTGGTAAGTACTTAAGTGATCGCTGAATGTTTCAGAACTAGAGACATGTCATTATGCGTAGGAGTCTTTTGAATCTGCTTTGTGTCTTCCTCCATATTTAGAACAGTGGCATTGAAGTCTACAGAATAAAAATTAAGGGAGAGGTGAAAGGAAAATTAAAAGTCAATGTTTTGAATAAAATGCCAAAAGTGAGTTGTCTTTTGATTACTACATTAAAAAAAATTGGTAAAGTAGATTAATAGTTAGAGGTTGAAATTGTTTCTGGTGTGTGTCATTCAGAGTACAGAATTGAGCTCTCCACAAAAATTAAATGCATACGTCTTTGTTACGATGCAAAGAACATAAATGACTATTATTTTTTCACGGGGTTTCACCAGAGACACAGAATTTAACATCAGATGAAGAAAAAAATCACCTTTTTCATTCCCTCCCAGCAACATTTTTGTCACTAAGGTAATGATTGCACAGTGTGGTTTACCTGATAGGTTCCGTTATGGTTTTTTACCCCTATTCTTTCATGATCACTTGCTGTCTCCCATATGCAGCCAGCCAACTGAACTATCAAGAGAGGAGCATGTGCAGTTTTCCTTCTCTTACAAATTGACAAAAGTCACCCGTGTTTCAAGTCCCTTTAAGAAACCCAGGCTGCTGCTATCTAGATCCCTTTTTCTTCCTAGATTTGAAACAGTTTCACGGACTTCATGCAAAATGGCCAAATGAAGATTTTATCTTTTTTTGTTTTTAACTAGACTTTAAATTATTTTCTAATATGCTCTGTGATTAAAGAGTTTGTTGTCCAGAAACAGCGTATTTTAGATTCTGTGACAGCAGGTCAGATTCAGCCCAAGCGTGAAGATGAATCCACAAAATGTTTTTTACTATATTCTACTTAAAAATTCACCTCACAGGAGTTTCAACGCTATTGGCACAGTCAGCAACTTATAAAAAAGCGTAGCTTTTCCATGCTATGGCAGCTGAATTACAAATGCTTACTTCAGGTCAAGGCTAACATCTCTGATAAAACATTGTGGGAAACCTTGCATTACAGCTGTCGATGTTGTATTTGCCCTGTAGATCAAGGACTTCATTTTAGTAAAATCCAAGTGTGTAAGCTTGGTCTTCAGTTTATCTCTGAGTTAGAACGCATTCCTCTGGAATAAAGAGCACTTTTTTATTCTAAGTAACCTCCTTCTCTATACCAAACTTGTCTTGGATATTATTTAACAGGAAAAAGTTTTTTAAGGCCTAATTAAAATTCTGCTTTATTCTCTGTTTCTTGGAAATGAAAGAAAAAAAATTAAGCCTGGTGGCATTCAGAATTTTTGTGTATAAATTGTATTTGGCATCATTGCTTTGCTGTGATTTGAAATCCTATATTTGTGAATAACATGATGGAATTTTTTATCCTGGAATATCTTTAGTTACGTTCAGGACCAGTATCTTGTGCAGTGGTGTCTGTGCTTTAGGAGGACATTTCCTTTGCCCTTAGCTTCTGCAGAAATTCACTGGTATGATTAGTTGTTTAGTCAGTACCACTGACAGGCTGGGTTTATTCATTATTACTGTGGAATTCACATGTAAAAAGATAACGCCCATTTATAACTCAGTTTTCCTTTGAGACATCTTTCCCTTTTGATGCACGCTAATCAATTTTCTGTGTCTTCATTACGTTTGGTTCTCTCCAATTGCTGCATTTAGAGACTACCTTACAACTTCATAGTAATGTCAGGTAGGGCCAGATGTGTGTGTGTGCTTCTGGAACTGGTCATGCAGTTCTGGCGCTTTCTGCTGGATTTACCAGGAACTCCCTGCTTTATTCTTCCTTTCATTCTTTTTTTAATGTTTCAATTAATACATTTGCAAAACCAGATAAACATATCGATTCTTGTATCTAATGGTGTTACTCGTTACTCTGTTTAACTTACTTTACCAGAATGTAATTTAGGGGAGGAGGGAATCAAACAGAAGACAGGGGCTGCAAATGAAATCATCAAAACTGGAGAGCACTGAGCGAGCTCCTGCTTGCTAAACCCTACAGCAACGTGATCTCACTCTGAGTTTGAACTCTGCTGTGTACGTCTTCTCTGAGATACTCTCTGCCTGCAGAGTGCTCTTGAATGAGGAGTTCATTTATATGAAAATTGCTTATAGTAGCTGAATATAGACACCTTCAGAAATAAGTTAAGAGTTGTCGCTAACCTTGTTTTGCCATTTGAATCTAGAAGATATGGTGGTTATACTTCGTGGCTGTTACTGCAGGCATATTGTCTTCCACCTAGAAGGATTACCAGGCTCTTTCTTCTCTTTCCACAATAGCACATTGTAACTGGATAAAAGGGTGATTAGGAATGAATGTTTCAAAGGAGCTTGGCATTTGTTTCATCACCAAAATGAAGTGGCTAGATTGTTTTTAGAGCAAAACAGTTCTGCAGATGAGAACTGCTAGATCTACATAGTTTTGTTCTTTCAAAATCTGTCTATAATTAAAATGTTTGGAAGTAGAGTTCTTCTGAAAATCTGATGAAGTAAGATATAGTATTTTTAACAAATCGAATCTGTGTGTTTTGTTGGATAACATTTTATATTTTAACTAACAGGTGTACAGGAGGCCTGTTATACGGGTAAGATTACCTTTGGCTAGCAGTAAAACGGCCTCCTACCTGTTTGTCTTTTGTGCTGTGTGAGATCTTGGTGTGTCAAGCATTCTGTACTTCATTAATGGTTTTTATGAACCAGTCAGACCATTTTGCTATGCAGTGCAACAGCTTCTTTGTCATAGAAATGCTTTATATACATTACAATGTTTTCGTGAGCAATAAAAGTCAGTGTGTAAGAGAGCAATATTTTTAAATTGTTATGAATGTGCAATGCTAACTTCAATTTTATTATATTAATTTTGACAAAATGGGTGCTTGCAACTGGGGCTTACACGCTTTGGACTACAGAGTGCTGTATTAGCAGCTCTAACGTGTTATATATGCTAAAGAATATTAGTGGTGAAAGTGTTACGTCTTCCAATTCATGCTTGCCTTCGGACGTATTTTGCCTTAATTGTTACCACCCTGTAGTAGGACTGAAAATGAGGTTTGAAGTTAGACACTAGTGCAATGACCTGCATCTTTTTAATTATAATTTTGAGACTGGGGCTTTCCCATTGTTCGTTGGAGATATAAAAAGGGCATGCCTTGTTTTCTTGTCCCTCTTTCTTAGTAACATTTGTGGAGTGAGAAATGATCTGGATAGTGTTCTGACATTGTTCATCAAATGTGTCTAACACTTTTACTCAAACAAAGACCTCTTGTTCAGGCTTGAACGCAGAGATGAAGCCTGAATGATTTCTTTTTCTCATCCATTGTTTACATATTTGAAAATGATGTGTTTAGTCCAGTCATACAAATCCACAAGTTGATTTTTTTTTTTTAAATAGATAGCTCTTGAAATAATTGGTCTGGATTGAGTAAAAAAAATTGATTGTTTTTGTTCAGTTTTTCATATTTCTTTGTAATGGCTTTGATCTTTGAGTGATCTGTTGTGCTTCTCTCTCTTTCATTTATTTAAAATCTTTTGGTGTATTTGCTGGTTGTCCTTCTAGCTTTCTTCCAGATATCACAATATCTACTTAGCTTTAATTTCAGAAACAACATTTTCATGGTCTGAAATTTAAGTAATTTCTATTTAACAGAATTTCACCAATACATAAATGTTAGGAGTCCTTTATAATTTGAAAGGGTTTTCTAATTAATTATAACTTTTTAAACTCTGGTAGAGTTCAAATTATCTGAAGATATCTGTAGTCCTTCTTCTAAGTTTTTCTTTTTTGAGGGTTCTCTAAACATACCATAAAAAGAAAAATTGACTTTAGCAAACATTTGCCAATGTAGACTGAAGCTCAGGTTTTACAGTCTGTCAAGTGAGAAGTTCTTTGCATGTGAACTGGGAATAACAGACTGCCATCAACACAACTTCTCTCCAGTTAATAAAGAAAGAAGACAGAAGAATAATTTTGGCTGAACATACTAAAACAATTGCTTCACATGACCCTGTGACATTTGTGCTTCTCTCTGGAGTGCGTAGGGACCTGATGTTTATTAAAGAGATTTAATTAATATTCAGGATTTGCTGCCAATATGATGCAAAGTAAATTAACATAAAAATGTGAATTGTTTGCATGTTTTCCTTTGAGGAGTAATTTTAGGTTCTGTAAAGTTAGTAAGTTTCCAGAAACAACACAGAAGTTGCTGGAAAAATATGTGAAACCATAAAACTGAAAGTTCAGTTAAAATGTATTTTACACAGTAAAGCATTTTTAAAATTGTCTAGATACTTCTACTTGATGTCGACCTATTTTTTCCTTGAAAGATTGCATGAGTTTTCTTCTAATGCTACCATTGCGAGCTGTACTCAATTTCTTCTATTGATAAGCATGTGGCATACGTTGAATTCATTTTCTTCACTATAAGGTAGTTTTTCTTAAAAAGACAGCACATACTTTTATGTTCTTATCTACCAGCACTGACTCTTTTGTGAAAAAAAGGGAGTAAATTTCTCATTTTGTGTTGTGCCAAATAACATTAAAAGGATAGCGCTAATAGCTTGGATTCCTTTCTGTGGAAAATAGTTGGTGCCAGGAGTGAAAGATTTCGAATAGCTAAACTGGAGTTAAAGTGTATGCTGTCTTTTTAAGGGAAGAAAGAAAAAAAAAAAAGGGAAAAAAGAAAAAAACAAGGAAAAGATTCTGTCCTTTCACCTGTTGTCTGCATATTTTTTCCTGTTACTTCCCTCTTGCCCTACTGCTGCCTCATGCAATGCAGGAGATTCAGGATGGACACAATGGCTATCATTCTGAAGCAGAACCTGATCAGGTGGCAAGTTTTACTCCTCTTTCATTCATTAACTGTGTAGCAAGGTACTATATATTAGTACTTGTACAGGACATAGAAATCTTAAATTTCTCATGCAAAAGAATCCATAGAAAGCATTTAGCATGTTAACTAGTTAAGTGCTAGGTAGGATTTTTGTGTGATGTGATGGAGTCTAAAATGCACGTAAGCCCCTGACAGTACATCCATCCTCCTGAGGTTGTTAGCACTGGCTAATCCCCTACACATCATCTTCTTTTGCGATTGGGTGGTGATTATAAAATTCTGTTAGTTTCCAAGAAAATCTAAAGCCAGAGATCAATTTAAATATCTCTAGAAATTATTTGGGGTAGTTTGTTTGGAGGCAGACAGATCCTACCAATTATTTGGATGTGGATCAGAGCTCTAATAGAAAGGAAGAGTAATTTGTTTGCTGTAACATAGCCCATTATATTTATTCTCACTTCAGGATGTAAAAAATTGAAACCTTAATATCTCATCATGGTGACCTGAGAGAGATCACTTTCTCACATGGTCCTTAAAAGTCCCGCAGACCCTTTTATTCTTAATTAAAATCTTCAGTGCATTGTAAATCTTAGCCGCCAATGAAGGACCCAAAGGAACAGTCTTGTATCATTCAGGAATGAACCCATTTACCTGAACGCAAATTTATGGAACTAGCCCTTATTTTAAAAGTGCTACTTGTTCTTCTATATTTCACTACTACTTTGTTCTTAATCTGACCTTCTGGATCCAAAATTCTTATAAGGGATCTCTTCCATAACCTGTGGCACTCTCAGTAGGGTATTGATTGAAATAGAGCATCGTGGGGTGCTTCTGACTTCTTGCTATCCAAAGTACAAAGTTAAAATGTCAAATAAAAAAAGCTTCTGCCATATAGTTATCTCAGATGAATATACTCAAATATTAAATAAACAACATTAAGAATAGAAAAAAAAAATACAAACTTTTAAATGTTCTCAAGTAGATAAAATACCCAAAATAATACCTGCATTTAGCAAAAACCTAACAAATTATTAATGACAAATTTGGGCTGATCTTATCGTTCGTATTTTTGTATGCTATATGTAGCTAGCATGTGAAACTAAATTGTTGCATAAATGCTTTATTACTAATATGTTACTAACATGTATGTCTGTGTAATATTTATATAGGAAGTTTTGTGTTTGGGGTTTTTTTTAATATGGTACTGTTTAATAATATAGTTGTGTCTTGTTAAAAAAAAGATACACTTCTTGTGTACCAGTAATCTGGTAGAAAAGCACTTTGTATCAAAATGTATCGATGTAGTACAGATGGAAAGTGAGATTTACTCATGGTTTTGGATTTCTGCCAGGCACTGCGGGATGGAAACAAACTAGCACAGATGGAAGAGGCTCCACTTTTTCCTGGAGAATCAATCAAAGTTATTGGTAAGCATACTATTGAGTACTATACTGAATACTATGAAATTACTAGTTTATTTATTTAAAAACAGAATATTATTGCCTTTTGAATTTTGTTATTTTAATTTAATGCCACTTTAGATTAGCTGATTTGATGTGGATTTCTTTTCTTTGTCTTTTAAATCCAAATGTACGCCTGAAAGAGAAATCAGTTCCAGAGGGTGACTTGCTCCATATAGAGAAATCTCATAGATTCAAAAGCTTCAAAATTGTGATAGCAAAGAAGATGAAGTTACAGAAAAATGAGTTTCCAGTTCTTAATGAGATTTATTTCACTTTGGCCTGTGGTGGCAAGCTCTGCATTAGCAGTACAGTGCTAGGCTAGAAAAGAATACTAGCTCTTTCAAATAAAAGTGAAAACGAAGATATGGGCATATAGCTGAATTACTTGGAGGTCAGTTGCATACACATCAATCATTGCCCTTTGCATGCTCTGAGGTGAGTGTGGGTGCTTTACACCTCAGCAGTTGCTGAGCAGCAATGGGACTGAGGAATTTATTTTCATTTTTGAGATGAAGACAGCTCTTTCTGTCCTGACAGCATCTGAAGAGTAGGCTTTGCTGTAGAGGTCAAGCATCAAAATCTTATGGAACTGCAAAAATCTTGCTATTTTTAAATGGAAATAGATTTTTATGGAACAAATGTCTACAATAGTAAACCAAAGCTTTAATTGGTCTCTTTTCCAGCTAAAGATGTTATGTATATCTGTCCATTTATGGGAGCAGTCAGTGGTACGCTAACAGTGACGGATTTCAGAATGTATATCAAAAGTGTTGAAAGGGTAAGACTTTGCTATCTATGTGCGTATTGTTTCAGATACGAATGTCGCTGAAGTAGATTTCAGAAAGTGACAAATTTGGTGTAAGTGATGTATGATGTTCCACAGCAAGCCGTTAAACAGGAATTATAGCTGACTGAAGAAATATACATGCATAATATTAGTTTGTGCTCCTCCTGATGTAAATAAAATTCATTTGTTTTATATATAAATTTCAGGATCCACCTTTCGTTATTGATGTTCCCCTTGGAGTCATAAGTAGAGTTGAAAAAATTGGAGTACAGAGCCACGGAGACAATTCATGTGGTATAGAAATAGTTTGCAAGGTATGGCATGGTAGACATTTATTCATATTAAAGTATTCTCATTTCGTTTTTCTGTAAGAGGAATCTGCATGCACATGTGCTGTTTTTCTGTCTGATCAGTTCCCTGTATTTGAACCCTGCTTCATTTAGATAATATATTTCAATTCCTCTTATACTTGCAGTCTTAAACACTTCTGCCTTTTGTCCCAAGAGTGAATTCAAAGGAAAAATGGCTATTTTTGTGGTATATAGCAACTCTAATGACGATCCTGGTCATCTGATATGAACACTTAGAGAAGTCTGCTCTAATGTGGGTTAGATGATGTCAGTGACTTAGTGCTACATATATGCCTTCCATCAATTGAATTTCTTAAACTGCTTTTTTTTTCCTAATTTATCATAGAGTAAAATAGCATAACTTATTTTTGACAGGATATGAGAAACTTGCGGCTGGCCTATAAACAGGAAGAGCAGAACAGATTAGAGATTTTTGAAAACCTTGTTACACGCGCATTTCCTGTTTCTAATGGGCTGGTAAGTCTGAAGATGTAGAGAAGGCTGTCACTGGCTCTCCTCTTTTTGGAAAGTGTACGTGGGGAAATACCAGGGCTGTATAACAAACATTGAAATGTAGATTTGTACAATCTGTTACAGAGCATGCAAACTGCTCTGACCCTGTTACCTTTTTGCATTAATTCGTCAAACATTGTGATACGTCCTGCTATCAGTGAAGTTAGTTAATTTGTACATAACCTTTGAGATCTAGATTTACCTAATGTTGCTGATTAAAAATATGTTTGTATTGACTCTTATTTTCTGCAGTAGGTAGTTTAGTCTAGAAGTTCTGTCTAAACCAACAAATAGGTACAATCAGTCTTATTATTAGTTAGCTGCAGGATGCAATTTCATTTGCTTGTACAGGTAAGGAACTGGTTAGGAGGTAGGAGACTAATTTTCTCATCCTGGCTTTGCCATTGATGTGTTGTATGATCACAGGCAGGTAACTTCAACTCTCTCTGACTGTTTCCTATCTTGATTTTGTTCATTACATAGCATGTACTTGAAGGAGGAAACTGTCTTTCATTTTCGTTCTAGCACAGTGTTGTCCAGTCTTAACTGAAAGTTTTATGTCTGCTGTTGAAGAGTTTTAGAAGTGTTACATTTGAAATATTACAACGTTCACTGTTTTGGAGCTTATTGTGTATACAGCCCATCAGACAGTAATTTATGCCTTTGCTTTTTTTCTTTAGCCTCTTTTTGCATTCAGCTATAAAGAAAAGTTTGCTGTTAATGGCTGGAAAGTGTACGATCCAATGGCAGAATATAAGAGGCAGGTAAGTTATATAAGTACTTGGTGTATTATTTTTCTCCCCCCATCTCCCCCAGAGCCATTTAAACAAGAACAAAATATTAAAGAAAACTCAAAATTTTCAGCTCTGGCTACATAGCTGTAGACTGTCTAGATCTCATGTTTAGATAATAAATGCAAGCTGCCAGACTTTGAGAGTTTTGAGGGCCTGCTAAAGTTGATGGAGATAACAGGTGCTGAGTACTTGAGCAAATTGGTCTGTCTTTAACACGCATTCTTAAATCCACATTTTCCAAGTGCTGTTTCCAGAAAATATAGGCTTTATAAAAATTTGGTTTTGAATAAGTAGCATTAAACAGAAGAGTAACTGTAGTTTGGCACTGTAAATCTAGTTTCCTAGTTGCAAAAGTATTTTTATTTCATTATCTGATCACTTTTTACCTGAGTATGCAGCCTATTCAAATGATTATTTTGCATATCAGTTTTAAAGATAATAAATAGGAAAGACTTTCAGTGTGTTGGTTTATGGTGCAATATGAAGATCTAAAGTTTATAGCTCATGTAAAAGAAAAATGTGGGCACACTTTTTTTTAAAAAAGTGTGTAGCATGTAAAAGTTTTCATCTTCCCAAACTCAAATAGGTAAAGGTCTAACCTGAAAAATACAAAAATATTTTGCTTTCATACAGGGCTTGCCCAATGAGAGTTGGAAAATATCCAAAATTAACAGCACCTATGAGCTTTGTGATACATATCCTGCTATTCTTGTTGTGCCAACCAGCGTAAAGGATGATGACCTCTCAAAAGTGGCAGCGTTTAGAGCAAAAGGCAGAGTTCCAGTAAGTGAAACTTTTACAAGGAGATATAAGTGCTCTACAAATTTGTAGCTTATAAGAAATTGTCATTCTTCTAGGCTTATTTAAAAAAAAAAAAATGGTGGGCCAGCTTCCTTCCTGAAAGGGGTGGCAAAGAAAGAAGAATTAGGCTAGATGGGTTTAGAACTGAAGAGAGCAACTCACACATGAGTCTAATTACTTGGTTATTATGCCATATAATAAATTTTTGTTTGGAGTTAACACTTCTGAGCCAAAATGATATCTGATGCTAATTCACATGTTAGCTTGTGTTCTGGTTTGGTGTGGAAAGTGTTACAGCCGTAGTGATTTTCTTGAGAAAGACAAGTTTTGCCGGTAGCATAAGAGCCCATTGAAACATGTTAGATGGGGACAGTTTTCATGCCATAGATCTGTTTAGCAAGGTAGTGTACAAGTCCATAGACTTCCACATGGACACAGTTTTTCTTCCTCCATTGTTCTTTTTTTCTTTAATTAGTAAGATGGAGTAGCAGGCTTAATTTTTATTAGACGTAAAAGCTAAGATGTTTAGAATCACTTTGTATTTCAAGCTCAGATGTGGGATCAGCAGTGCTAGTGTGCTGTCAATACGGTTTTTCTCAGTTTGTCCTTAAATTTGCATTTGTTGATTTGCCAGGAAAAAATGCCATATAGGCAGTGTGATTGTCTAATTGCACTCTGGCCTGCTGCTTTTATAGTAGTATAGTAAACTAAAATAATTTTCTTTTATTCCAGGTGTTATCCTGGATTCATCCTGAGAGCCAAGCAACAATAACACGATGCAGTCAGCCATCCGTAGGCCCAAATGATAAGCGTTGTAAAGAAGATGAAAAATATTTGCAGACAATAATGGATGCCAATGCTCAGTCACATAAACTTACCATCTTTGATGCCAGACAGAATAGTGTTGCAGATACAAACAAGGTAGGTTGGTGTCATAACTAGCATTAGTAGTTCTATCTTTATTACAAGGCTGGAGATTGAGTAAGAGGTGAGGATGAGGAGAACTTGATGTTGAAAAGAGATGAAAAAGGGTCTGTAAAGAGAGCACGGGAAGGAAGGAAAGTTGTTCTTAGCATTTGGGAAAGGCTGGCAGGAACTGAAGGCAGCATGAAGACATAGCTGAGAAATGACGCAATAAAACCCACAGAAGACTAAAGGTTTCAGTAGTAAAAAGGGGAATATAGATGTATTATCAAATGTAGCCTATTACAATTATAATTTCTTTCTCCTAAAAAAAAGTACCTCTAGTGCTTCTTAGGAAAACAAAAGCCAGAAATGTTTTTATTAGTGCTAAAATAATCCTTTCTCTCAGAAAATCCTGAAACCTGACCAAAATAACTCTTTAAACCTTATACTGAAGTCCTGTACATGTTCCTTTCTTTGTCTATTTTTACTTTTTGAATGACAGGCAAAAGGAGGAGGATATGAAAGTGAAAGTGCCTACCCAAATGCAGAGCTGGTCTTTCTGGAAATTCATAATATACACGTAATGAGAGAATCCCTGCGAAAACTTAAAGAAATAGTTTATCCTACTATTGATGAGACTCGGTGGTTATCAAATGTGGACTCCACACATTGGCTGGAATATATAAGGGTAAAATAGTTTTGGTGTGAAAAATCAATTGTTTTTTTAAACCATGTTTTTAACTTGCATTTCTGAAACTGTTACTAAAATAACGCCTTGATTTAAGCTCATTGCTTTGATCAGGATAAGCTTGTAAAAAACCTCTATTTTTAAATGGTCACTTAGAACATAGCATTTTAAGCATTTCATGACAACTTTGTATTTGCAGTTTTATATATTGGTAGGTAATGAGTTAATTCCCGATAGCACAGTATCGTATTTGGTGTTGGACAATGTTTTATTTTCTTGAGAGGGAATGTTTGTGAGCAGTCCAGGGTTATCCCTGCTTTTTGGAAGAATGCCCTGGGAACTTCAGATTATATTTGAACAATTGCCAAAAGGACTCGACTGTAAATTCTGCAGTCTTTCTCATCCTTCCCTCCTTCAGTGCAATGTTAGTATTCATGTGTCGGGCACCTACGTTTTCATGTGCTGTTTATAGTCAGTGCTCTACTGCGTTATAATCTGCTCTATTATTTAACATAATATTAAAATAAATCACTACAGTACTCAGTTTTAGTCTGTTTCACTAACCTCTAAAATGCTTTTAGAATAGATTATTTCATTACCATGTTCACTCCCCTGTTTATGATGAATATGGATGGAGTGGAATTTGTTTTATTAGCAACTGGCTCAAATGTCACTCACACAAAACATGTTTGGGGTTGTTAATTAGTTTTACTTTTCTGTTAACTCGTGCTTGCTAACTGCTGTGGGAGAACCAGTAGAGGGAGCAAACACTTAAATTAAGAATTAAACAAATTTAATCATCTTTTGGGATCAGTTTAATTTTCTTGTTCTCTTGAAGTTGGACTATTTCGACTGCTTTGGGAATCTGAGTATCTGGAAACCTTTTCTTATCAGCCTGGCCTTGAATGCAATAGTCTATTTTTAAAAGTGGAGTTGCTTGGGCCGGTGGTCACCTTTCATTGACATTGACTTCAGTGGGGTTCCTGGCCTTAGACGGTGTCACGAGTGGACCTTGAAACCACTGCTGCACAGATGACAATAGCATAGCAACTTGAAATGTCATTTAAATTATTTCAAAGACTTGACACACGTGTAACATTCTTCATGAATCTGTCCCTTACGTGATACTTCACGTTACAGTATTGACCGCACAAACTGCAGCCTGATTTCTTAAAAGCTGCCATTACTGTGTTAAGCATTGATAGTATCTCCTTGTGCTTTTATCCAAGAATTGCTTGCCTTCCTTGCCTATTTGATTTGGCTTGTAATAGCAATTAACAAATCCACAGCTTTACTTTATCTCATCTTCTGTTTTCTGGGCTCAGACCAGATTGTGTCCCAGTTTAATGCGATGCATTACTGGAAATTCACCTTGCCAGCACTGGACACCCACAGCACTTTGAAGATGGTCCAGGAGCGTCTGTGGAGGCAACACTAACATTCTGTGTGTGTGAAGGCAGTAGTAACAACAGGAGTAGAGTCACTTGATGCTTTTTGCACATCCAGGATGTTTCCTCATGCCCTCCAGGGTATTTTCTGTCCTTCAGGGTAGAACTTGTGCTATTAATTATTTTTAAGCCAATTCTCATTTTCTAAATCAATCCAAAGCCAGTTATTCATTAAGAGCCCTAGCTGAAATACTGTGATGGTGGCTAAGAAACATCTATAAAGAATAATAATAGTTTGTGGAGGGAGCTGTTTTCTAAAGGCTTTTGTCCAAAGTAGAATAAAATGCTTCACCTACTCCATGGATATTTACTGAATTAATAGTAACTCTGTCTCCCATTCTCTGCTTATTGCCTGTATCTGTTCTATCCATTTATTTTCAGCTGTAGTCCTTCAGAGGCATCTGTGTTCTCTTTAGGACAATTTAAAGCAAGCTATTGCATACCTGTATGTCATATAGATTAGTTTTCTGCTTTTATTGAAGACCAATCTGTTTTAATATTTGCACTTTTTTAGTGCATTAAAGATTTGTAACTGAAGTAATTGGCAATTAACTAGTTCAGACCACAAGCTCTGTTCTCCCATAGAAGCTTTTATATTGTTTCCTGATATTTCCATCCTGCCATCCTTCAGTTTTACCATAAAAGATACGATCGATGAAAGATATAATCAATGAAATTGTCTCTAAAGCATGGGTCTTGAAATAGCTTTGAAGACTAGTCTGTGCACAGCTTCTCCAGTGGGTGCTGGCTTTCCTACTTCCCAGAAGATGTTTTTACATGCCTGGGAAGGGAAAAATGCAAGTATTTTGCAAGATTCCATTTTCTGATGTTGGAATGTGGAATAGGAATTTCTCCTGTGGCCCTATTCTGGTGGTTGGGTTTTTTTTCACATATTTTTCAGTGCCTTGATAGGTCATGTTACAGAGACAAATCTTCACAAGGGAGAGATTATTCCAATTTTTAAAAAACTACCAAGCAGCATAAGAGAACGAGAGAGGGTTTTTTTGTCGGGGAGAAGGGTAACAAATTCACACAGGTGATCTCAGTCCTGTGCCGCCTCTATCCTTTGCTCTCCAGCATGTTTCTGAATCCATGCTATTAATGGTCTGCTCATGGGCTGAATACAGTGTATACTTCATGCACCAACACATCAGCACAGGCTCCCAGCCAGGGGTTTCTGAGTGTGTTTGCGGTGGGTTTTGATTTAGGTTAGCTGGATCGTTTGTCCCTTTCACTAAACTTAGTAGTTGAGAACTGAAAGCTGAGGAAGAAAGAGTGATCGATTACTGTGAAAACGAACTTTGAAAACATTGAAACTTCAGCCTTTGGAATAGGTTACAGTATTTGTGTCTTTTCATCATGATACTGTATTTCAGATTTAATTTAGAGAAGGGATTCCCGGGTTCTTTTGCTATGTGCTACTAATAATGGAGAGCTGGTAAGAACTCTCTCCTGGTCAACAGAGTGCACACACTTTTTATACCTCTAGGAGTATGCATACTGTCATTTGGAAATCTTTAATTTAAAGCAATGTTGTCCAGATAATGATGTAATTAATCTGAAATTATTTTAAAATATATTAACCTTAAGAGTATAAATGTATAACTCTTTTTTTTTTTGGTGGTGGTGGTGGTGGTATTTAATATGCTTGTTTATTTATTTTTGTTTAAGATGCTTCTTGCCGGAGCAGTAAGAATTGCGGATAAAATTGAATCTGGGAAAACATCTGTAGTGGTACATTGCAGTGATGGTTGGGATCGAACTGCACAGCTTACTGCGCTAGCTATGCTTATGCTGGACAGCTATTACAGAACTATCAAGGGGTTTGAAGTTCTTATAGAGAAAGAATGGATAAGTTTTGGACACCGATTTGCAATGGTAAGCTGAAAGTTTTAGTGTGCAGTTTATCGCCTTCAAGGTTTTTATTTTGAATAGCATGTTTTCTCACAGTACTCTGCTGCATTTTAGTTATTACCTCTGGTGTCCTTTTAATGGTGCGAGTGTGTCAGAGAATTGTGACCTGTTCATTTTTAACAGGAAATCTGTGTGTGAAGTATAATATAAAGTAAATAAGAATTAAGTGGCTCGAACATAATGGTTAAAAAAAGTCACATAGTTTTTTAATGAGGAAGAGGGATTGTAACACATTGCTTCATCTTTAACAGTCTTATGAATGGAGAAACAAGGAAAACAATTAAGGTGTCTAGAAGGTAAAATTGCTGGAACCATTACTCTGATTTAAGGTTGAAGTGTTTATTTAACACATGGGCTAGTGGGGAATTAGGACATAAATTATTATGACATTTTGTGCGCTCTGACTCTAAGATAGTTTAGGAGAAATGACATGTAGTTATGGCAGGTGGATATGGAATAATCATTGTTTCAGTATAGTCTTAGTAAATACCTACCAGTTTGACCCACTGGTAGAAATAAATGGCTGTGCAGTAAAAGATGGGGAAACGACTGGCACAGCTTTGTTGATCAAGTGTCTTTCCTGCTCTGCTGAACAGCAGAGCTATGTCCATAAGTGAATCCTGGGATGCATTTTTAGTAGTTGAAAAATACAAGTTAGCCTTATGGAAGATTTGCTTGTCTTGTTCACCATTGGAACGTATTTAAGAGTTACTCAGCTTTAAAGTGTTGGGATGGTACTGTAAATACACTAGAGGGAAATGAAAAGTTTGTTTTGACTTTCAGCGAGTAGGACATGGAGATGATGATCATGCTGATGCAGACAGATCTCCCATTTTCCTTCAGTTCATCGACTGTGTTTGGCAAATGACAAAGCAGGTAAGATGCTTAAGAGAATATTTCTATGAGGTCTCTGTATTTATCTTGAATACGTAATTTGTGTAGGAGAATGCATTCCTTTGCAGAGCAATAGCATGTTTTCCTGAAGCTGATTGTGCTATGGCTACACCGTGCACACATAGAGAAACTTTTTGCTCAAAGTGAGGTACAAGGAGCTAGAGTAGAAGTATTGACTTGAAACCAAACTATTAGGACTCTTTTTTTGTTTAAAATAGGCTTTCAAAGGGTTGTCTGATTACTTAAATGAGGGTTATTGATGAGAGAAATTGTTTGCTTTGCATATTCTCCGGTGGAGTAAATGTTCGTATAGATTTATATTGTCCTTAAGAAACAGCAAAAATCCAGACTGATTGTGAACTGAGGGAAGGAGAGGGTTCTTCCTATGTACATCTCAAATATGAAATGTAAGTTAATGTTAGCATCATTACGCATGCAGGACACCATTTCTAACATACAAGCCTGTTCTCAGATAAGTTTTCTTACTTCCAATACTGCTTTTACCTCTGGATCAGAGGAGATCTTTGAAATTAGTGATATTTAGATATAAAAATATTTAAATTCTTTTTTTTTCCTGAATGTGTTAAATTACAGAATGGCTTTAGCCTTCATTTTCCTTATTTGTACCTTCATGAGCATAAACTTAAGATTTTTCTGAGCTTTTATATTGTTGTTCTTTAATGGGGTTACTGAAATAGGTTGTCCACATGAAGGCTTTATTTCCAAGAAAATTAGAAGTGCTCGACTCCTTTTTTCTTCCTCTTTTTTTTTCTCCTTGAAGCTTAACATAGATCTGTGCTCTTACGCTAAAAGCTGTTATATTGAAGTCTGGATAGCATGTGATTAATTTTGAAGAGAGGAGCGTAACAGTCTGGTTTCGTATGATGCTATCACTCCCAGATCTCTTACCTTAGTCTTCTTGTTCTGAACATGGTTCTTAAAAACTTACATCATAGTTTCCAAAACTTGTATTCAAAACGGTCATTTTCTGTGCTTTATGAAAGTTCCCTGCTGTAATACTGGGCCCTTGTCCAGAGTCTCCTGAAGACTTTCTCTTTCCATGTATCTTTATTTCATCATTGATGTGCTGTTTAGTACGGCTGGAGAAAATAAATGAAAATTTCTGCCCTTCTCAGAGGAAAGCTAGTAACAATAGCAAAGAGAAGCAGTTCTGAACACCTGGTAGGAACAAAAGTCCTCTGGGGAGATCCTTAATTGAGAGCAGCCTCTTCTATTTTTGTGGTCTCCCTTGCTGCCTCCCATTTCTTGCTATAAACAGTTTAGTTCCCTCTAGTTTAAAAAAAAAAGGGGGGGGGGCAGGAGGTCGGGGGGAATCTGCAAAACATTTTGCCAATACCACATTCAAAACCTGGATCCAGAAACTGTTCTGAAATTCATGAACAGCAGTGGCATTGAAAAATCATTAATGTTACCGCAGGAAAAAAATTGAAAACTTCATTCTTGGAGAGTTCTTGCCCACTTATTTTTATTTTTAGTTGACTTCAACACCTAGAGAATTGATGTGAAGATTGTGATTACCTTGATATGGACCTATGAAAACCAGGGTTCTATTTTATCCTTGTGTCGATCACTTGCTTGTAAAACAGTGCTAGCTTCATGCTTTAGAATCCATGGTAAACATATGTGAAATGTTCTAAAGCTCAAGTAAGTGTTAATGACTGCAGGAGGGTGTAAGGGCTCGGGGTTTGGGCATGGGCTCAAAGTGAGCAAATTTTCTCTTTTGGGTTCTGTGAATTACGTTCTTAAAATAGTCGATGTAATACAGTGAGAGAATCTCTAACTTCCCACTAAGGTACAATTTTCTGGTTAGCTTCAATGAAACTTAATCCTTGACAGTCTTATATTTTCCCTTGTTTTTCATGGTCTTCATGACACACAAATGCAGTAATAGAGAACTTGAGAGAAGTACATTGATATCAGATTTTAATAAAAAACATACGGTGAAGTGATTTCCCTCCTTTTAGTAAATTCTGGTGATTTTGAGTAGCAGATGTCAAATTGGAAAGGCCACATCTGATCTGATGAAATACTGATGCCCTGTTAAAAGTGAAACAAAACTGTAATATGTAGCATTGCAGCTTAAGTAGTAGCTTTCTACCTTTCCTGCAGAGTCCCCACATAGGAGGAAGATATCTTTAAAGTTGGTAGAAAGTTGCATCCTGTTTGTTACCACGTGTCATCTGTTGCCGGACATGCATTTTTCACTACTTTCAGTAGTGTACTCTGTTACGGTATCTAGTGTTCAGTTAACCTGATTCAGTCTAATTCCACAATCATAAGAACTATTCAAAGTGTTTCAACTTTAAATGTTACTGTAGTACAGAACGAGTTCATTGATTAAAAGCCAAGTTTATTTTGCATGTCTCTGAATCAGATGCCACTTGGCATCATCAGACTTTTAAACAAGAGAATTCTTCTTTTGAATCCCTCCTTTACAAAACCCCTCAAGAACTCCAGCAGCATCAAGTGGGAGATTTTAATGACCCATGTCTTCTCTCACAATTAGTGGATTTGACAAGAAGTAAATTTTCATTTGGGGAATTTTTCCACCTGAATCTTCAAACAGACGCTAATGGGCTTGGAACTACAGAGGAAAGCATTTTTAGGTCAGTGATTTTTCAGCAGCGGTAATAGAAGCTTTACAGTCTTGATACAACAACTCCAACAGTACAACTCTTGTATCCAAAGACAGGGTTTCAATAAAGTGCTATCACTTATTAATAAATTAGTTGGAGTGCAACCACTGATGTATGGAATTTTGAATATGCTTCACTAGATTGGAATAGCGGCCGTGTCGGCATCCATCTGATTAGTATGGACCCGTCACAACACAGAACCCTAATGTGACAAGGCTCATTAAGTGCTTTCAGTTAAAGAGAGTCCCTTTAGGAGAGGCTTTGTCTTCAAAGTTATTTCCAAACATAATTTTGATCCTTTGCAAATTATTTTTGCTCTCTGTATCTGATTGCTGCTTTGGGCTGGATGCAGGAGAATGAGATCTGAGACCCACTGAATTTTCTCCTGACTTGGTTCGGCACACCTGCTTATCAAGTTCTGTTCAACCTTTTTTAAAATCATAGCTGTGTTGTTAACATCATTGTATTGTAATTGAGTTTTGGCATGATTTCCTAGAGAGAAGGAAATGCTGTAAGTGATAACTTTTGAACATGACCGGAAAAGAGGATTTGATAATCTTAAGTTCCTATATGTTCTATGAAACCAAATCACTAGGTGATTGAAAACAAACCAGTGATTTCAGAGAGAAGCCCCTGTGCGAGCCGTGCTGTTGAACTCTGCTTTGGCAGAGTCTGAAGAAGTAAGGCTCCTGTTCATTTTGTGAGCCATGATATCGATATTTTCCTTACTCAAAATTTTTGTTTGAAAGTTGGTATATCTTAGCTGGAAAGTCTTGGAGAGAGAATGTTTTTGCAATGTTTGACTTAAATCAATCTTCCTTTAAAAGAACATTGCTTAAAACTTAGATCTTTTTGGGTTTAATACAAGCATACCCATTGTGTGTTATTAAACTCTTTACTTTCAACATGAATAAACATTTGCCCTTCATAAATCACAGATGACACTGAAGAGGAATTTCTGCATCAGCTAGTTCATCTGCAGTCCCAAGTGCTGTGTTATTCCTCCTAGCTTTACTTGTTGTCTTTTTTTCTTATTTAAAGTAGCTCTTGAGTCACTCATGCCAAGGTGTTCAGTATTCTTCAGTGGCACATAACACAAACCAGTCCACTGCTTTCTTCAGACCTGAAATATTGACTTGAGATTTCTCCATAGAGCAGGAAATTCTCCCTATGAATCTGTAACTTTGTGTTTTAGACTTCTGTAAAGATTTACTCCTTTAATGGGAATGAACAAAATTTGTTTCATTTGTCTTGAAAATTAGTCTCTTATTCTCTTTCATGGCAATGAGAGAAATGCTACTTCTTAAAATTTCCTTTAGTCTTGTAATTTTTTTCCTCCTAAATGTTTATCATTCCGTATCTGTGTTTGAGATCCTTGTCATACTGAATGCAAAGTTATTTTGACACATCAAGCAGTTGCCATATGTAGTCCTATCATAAAATTTGTTTGAAGAAGGACCTTTTCCATCTGAATAGGTAGCAGCCCATGCAGTTTGCATTAATTTCTTCCTTTATGATTTTTAGAGCACTACAGATTAAGATATATCCTAAACATTTTGAGTGTTTTCAAATTTCTAACTCTTTTTCCTATAATGTATCAGGTAACCTGCTTGTGAATAAAATACCTAGTGGTCCTCAGTGGAACAACAGTTCTTTCATTTCAGATGTACAGGATTACTTTCCAATATAAAAGAGGAGGGATTAAAGGCTTATTGTACGTAGCTGATGATAAACTCAAGGGGTGAGATGGAGAAAAGTAACTTACTTGGGTAGAAAGTGAAAGAAACATTTTAAATATATGTTAAGCACATTGTATATACAGTAGTCTGTATTATCCAATTCATTGCATGTTAGAGTGGGAAATAAAATTCTTAAATGTCATCATCATCTTTTTTTTTTCTTTTCCCCCAGGATGATTTATTATCCTGTAACAAGAGAAATAAAACATATGTTGAAGACAGTTTGGGGTGGGTTAGGACAGAATACTGTTAGAGCTTCTTAAAATGGATTGCTTTGTGTCACCAGTTTCACATTAGCTAATGTTTCTATGTTTGTATTCTAGTATACTTGCATAATGAATGTAAGGTTTGTCTCTGAGGAGTATTTATAAAGAAGTACGTGGGTGAAATCTGTTATTGCAATGGGAGTTAATGAAATTGCTGAGTTTTCCTGAAAATGATGACTAAATAAGAAAAAAAAAATCTTATTGGAATCTTTTGGTTATTTCTTATGTCTGAGTTTCTTCCTTTCCATGCTGCTTAAAATAAAGTTTAAAGTAATTTTACCAATTTTTTATTTCAGTTTCCTGCAGCCTTTGAATTCAATGAGTTATTTTTGATCACCATTCTGGATCACCTTTACAGTTGTCTCTTTGGGACTTTCTTATGCAACTGTGAAAAAGAGAGGTTAAAAGAGGTAAATAATTAGTGTAATACACATTCTTCATTTGCTGATTTTATACGAAAATGATTAGAAGCCAAGACCTAAGAAAATCTGAGCTGTGTTTTTGGATACATTTGTCATGTAGTCTTGAAAGACAATGCAGACATGAAATTTCATGGTATGAGGAATATTTACTGAATGCCCTGCTATTAAATAAGGTGGCACTTATTTTTCTGTAGGTATTATCTGTTCAGGGGTTTGAAGGTTTTAGAAAGTCCTCTTTCAGATACTTCTTGCCAACATATACAGATTTAAATAATCATTATCAAATTATATTAGCATTTCTTCTGCTATTTCCAAAGGAACTCCTATGGATGACTTTGCAGGTCACTTAGGACATAATTAGATGGAACTTATGGTTGAACATTACAAAAATTTAAAATATCTGAATGAATGAAGTTAGGACTAATGAAATACTTTGAGTTTGGGAAAAAAAAAAAACCTTAAAAATTTGCTAATATTCCAGGTACACTTTTGCTTACTTTTGGCTTTGTTGGTTTTAATACTTCATATTTTTTAAAGCAAGTAACAGTTTCTTGCCATATTTAGCTTTGCTATTTTTTTTTTTTTGGTTTGTCTCTACTGCTTCTGTAGGGAAAAAGTTGCATGTAAATGCCACAAGATGGAGCTGAATAACATGTTCTCAGCAAATGCAGGGTTTCCAGACAGCTTTCTTTCATCAATGAATAGTCAGATGCAATTCTCAATAAAGAAATGCAATTTAAGACACAGCGGTAGTAGAAACACATGCTTTACAACACTGAAGGAGTGTAAAATTGCAAGATGAATCTGATGTAAGTTCAGATTTCCAATCTTTGATCTAACCATGATTATGCTGATTACATTTAGAATAATACAACTTTCAGAAGTGCAAATAAAGATAAAATAGGCGTTTTAAAGCATAACATCAATTGATAGGAGCAAACAGTGTGAATGGGAGAATTGAATGATTATTTTTCAGTGATGCTGTTTTGGATCTTCCAGACTACATATCTCTTCACAGATTTTCTTCTCAAAGCTGATTTAATTATTTATTTTTTTTTTAAAGCTGGTCAGTGTGTAACCATGTATTTAAGCAGCTGTAAACATTGCTGTAAATTATGAGCAGTACAGCTTTCTTTTGCTCAACTAGACCTTAGTGTCTCTGAAAATAATATGCCTGAATCTCCTTTCTCAGTTAGCCTTGGACCAGAATAAGTGTTCAAATGTTTTGCTAAAGTTTTAAGGCTGTTTAATGATCAGGACTGGGAGTGTTCTCAGAGTGCTTGTAATTTTCTAGTAGATAAGGTAAATTTCACAGACAAAATTACTGATGTGTAGATATTAGCTACACGTTTTAAGGTTTTGCAATCCATATAATTTTGGGGTTTTTTTCAATCAGGAGGTAAGCACAAAGACTGTATCGCTGTGGTCCTATATAAACAGCCAGTTAGATGAGTTCACAAACCCTTTCTACGTAAACTATGAAAACCATGTCCTGTATCCTGTTGCCAGTCTGAACCATTTGGAACTATGGGTGAACTACTACGTCAGATGGAACCCAAGGATGCGGCCTCAGGTATGAGCTTTCACATGACTTTTGTATTTTAGTGAACAGCACAGAGATTAAAAAAAATAATTATTTTTCATAGTGTTGAATGCAGCATTTAATTTCAAAAGTGTTCATCTGTTGCACGTATTTCAGCTGATAGGGAAAAAGGTGATTTTTCTCGAAGAAGATGCAGGATGCGTTCAAACTTGGTAAAATAATCTTTTCATTAAAGTCACCAGTAGACTTGGGAGTTACAGTATCACTTTATTGGCTTGTGAAAGGTAACAGATTAACAGTCTTTGTTGTCAGAAGATTACTTTTATAACACTTCTATAATACTTTGTAACACTGTTTAATAATGTTATTGCCTTAACCTTCTGGTAGAGTTTAGTGTACCTTTGGTTTTAATCATGTTTTGCCCTTTACCAACAATGATATAAAATATAGCAACAGTTTCTGAAGGAATTGGACTGCGTACTGACTCATTTTGTAGGTTCTCTAAACTTAGCATCACATAGATGCTTGTTTGCAGTTGACCTTTACGGTTTCAAGCTGGCATGCTAAAGATTAAACACTCCCTATACATGCTCCTTGATTCATCCAGTATTTGTTCTTATAAGTAATGTCTGCTATTCAGATAAATCTCTAAATCTCGTCAGACAAATACTCCATATGCTCTCATGCTTAGAAATCTGAAGAAAGAACATTCAGTTTGTGTCGCAACCATAATATATCTGAGGGTGCTACACCATCTCTTTATTAAGGTAACAGTCCAAGGTACCCCCAAGCATATTATGATTAATTACCTGTATTAAGTGACTGCTCAAAAGCTGCTTTCATCTTCTAGCAGCTAGAATGAGATGTGAGTTTCAAATTTATTAGACACCCAGAAGTCAGAGGCTGTTGTAAAAGATGCTGTGCCAAGGTAAGTTTCAAGGACAGTACACTGGTAGACATCCAGGCATCTGAGAAATACCTTTTATAGTCCTGGAAAAGTCTGGATTGCGTGTTTTCTCACCGAGATGTTTCCTCTGAGCTGCTTTGTTTCCCTTACTTGTTCTATTTTGGTTGATGCAGTCCTGTGACTGTTAGGTACCTGTTAGGTGTTAGTATGTGTTAAAACTTGAAAGGTGATGTAGTTTAATCTTCATGGTTTTAAAATAAAATTGTCAACTGCTTTTTAGCAAAATATCGTCTTTCCCTTAGCCTGTTTGCTGAAAAACATTTGCGTGGTTTATGCACATTTTAGTATAATTGACCTGCAGCAGGTCAGTTTATTATTTGTATTTAATTGAGATCTGTAGGCCCTGAAAGTGAGCAGGCTTTGTAAACACACGTGAAGGCTAGCGCTGGTCTAAAAGAGATGAGAGTGGGGAAGAGACGACATGATGAGAAAATATCAGAACTGTCATATACTTAGTGGCAAGCCCTGCTCACTGCCTCTCTGATGGAGAGCGCTCTGCCCGCTTCTGTTGGAGAGCACTCAGGCACTCTAGCATGTGTGAATCATTGATCTTCACTGGTCTTTGAGAACAGGTCCCTCAAATCAGCAGGTTGAAGGTAACAAAATTTGATGATCCTAGTAACTGCCTTACCTTTAGTACCACCTGTGTTTCTTGAAGAACTAATACAACTGCTTTGGCTTTTTAGATCTACCGCATTAGCTTTGTCTTGTGCAGATACATCATGCCTTTCCTCTTGTCTCTGGCCTGAATTTATGGGATATTTGTGACAAATGTTCGGAAGTGTTTCACATCTACTTGGATAAATTTGCTGCAGAAATTGCAAGGTTTTCTTGCAGAATTGTGTTCTCCAATCTAATTATGAAAGCACAAACTTATGCAAACAAGTAAATAACAAACTTTGTCATCACAATATACTGAGTTTGCTTTCTTCCGTATTTGCATTGTCTAGTTTCACACCCTGGTAGCCGATTCGGTAACATTCAGACCCATTCAGTAACAGCAAAAAAGACAATCACCATTGCGAAGCCTAGCAGGTCTTCACTTATCTTCAGTGAAAAGATTTTTTAAACAGTCAGTGGATTTACTAAAAGAATGGGCATCTCTGCCTACTGAGAAAAGGTGATTTTGTTGAGTAACTTTTAATGTGGTTCTTTTGTTTTTCAGTTGGAATAAGAGAAAGTTAAATATTTAATGTTAATGTAGAGCGCTGTGATGAATAGCAATTCAAGGCAACCTCAAGTACTGTTTTATCAGCTGTAAAAACTTCTTTAGGAAACTAGAAAATGTTTATTGTTTTCTAGGAGCTCACCAAAAAAGGAGACATGCCTAATTACATGAGTTTATGGAAGGATGAAGAATAGTCCTTTAATATAATCAGAAGGGGTGTTTGATACCCATTATCAACCATCTTTATGTTATGGCAGAGGAAATTCGCAAGAGCAAAAGGGCAGGTTTTTGTTAGAGGCAATATTTTAGGTTTTCTAATTTCAGCTTTTAGTAGTGAGTGAGGCTTGAATTTTTAAATGGACTGAGAGAAGTTAAACATTGCACTTCATTGACTTTTCTATTGGAAATGGGCAGACATCACCTTTAATTTTTTTAATTTTAAAATTACTGAATGCTAACTGGATATAAGAATTTCTTTTTGCTTTGTTGTACTTTGTCTTCAAATATCCGTGTCTCATCAGATCTCTAACAGTACAGTAAGGTCTGATCATATTCGTCATTGCACTAGGACATATATAGTTCAGAGTTATTCTTATGTTCTGTAAAGAAAAGATTGCTTATAATGATATATCTTCAGTTCTATCTACATTTTGTGGGAGGCTGAATTGGTGGTTTTGATGGTGTTTATTTGCATCAAGCGCCTCGTTTTAGGATTACAGCTATATTGTAATAGATGCTGTGCAATTAGGTGACAAGCAGTCTCCTTCCACAGAGTTCAAACAATGTGGAAAAGTCAGGGTTAAATGTGGACATCCCTTGCAGATTCCCTTTTTGCTAAACTGTGCTTCAACAAGGTCATTCTAGTTCTTAAGTGAAATAAAATGTTCCTTGGTTTCAGTTTGGAGGTGTTATATCATTATTGACTTCTTGTCCCAAGAAAATGAGATAGATTTTAGTCCTATCTTATTTGAGTTCATTGATTGAGAAGATTTTTCAGATTTGCCCTTTCCTCGGGTTGGAGAAATGTGTATTTGTATGCAACGTGTGGAAGATAAGCTCTCTCATTCTCTCATACAGAGGGGTGTGCTCTGTGGGTACCTGTTACTGGTCTTACAGATTACCCTGCTGGTCTGGAATAGATAAGACTATATGATGCTTTTGAATTATTTTCAGTTGATACCATGTATTTCTCTTTCCTATGTAGTCAGTCAGACCTCTTCTTTACACTGGTTTGAGGAGTTCTGGCTGCCAGATGTCAGTTAGTTATCTGCTTGGGCAACTCTGGAAGGTGGGGAGAACACAACAAATGATTTTCCTGATGTGACTTCTGCAGGGGCAGTATTTTTGAACTAATATACTCTTATCATTCATATATGCGGAGCATGAGTAAAAGTTCTGGTCCTTTCAATTCAAGCTGTACCTTCCTATGTGAGAGGCAAGGAAAAGAATGTGTTTTAGTCATAAAATTTACAATCCATTAGGATATGTTTAGTTGGTTTTATGCCTTCTGGAAAATGCCATTTTAACCCTTGGAGTATAGGGCTTAAACTTACTTTCTTTTAATTGGTATTTTTAAAATTTTTCTGTGCCAGCTAATTTTTCTTCAAGTTCTGTTCTGGAAATTTGGCCACTGTGCTAGAGATAATATCATAGGAATCCCTATAAGTTTTTCAAATTCATTCTTTCCTTTGTGTGTGTGGACTTTCATCCAGAATATAAGGCTAGCACCATCTATAACCTAGGAATTCAATTCAGCTACTGGAACGGGATCATCTGCTAAAGGCAGTCTTCAGAGCTACCACAAAAAGCTAGGGAAAGTCTGTTCATAGGTTAACAGCTGGCTTAAAAAAAAGGAAAGGAAAAGGTAGGGATAAATAACTTTTTGTTCAGTATATACAGAAATAATTTGGAAAGCATGTAAATAGGTTACAATGCTGCTTTTTTTTATGCTGCATATGGAATTGTAGAAGGATTTGATGTGTTGAACAGTTGAGTGATTAGATGTCAGCTGAACTTCAGTGTCAAGAAACACAAAATATTGCATATTTAAAAGAACAAATAAGAAGCTAAGTGTCACTGGAAAAATTGTTGAGAATAAACTGGAAAACATAATTACTGAGGTGCTTTATCCTGCACATAACAGGATAGGACTTGCTGTCTGGCACGTTGGGCGTTTATATTATTTATACCTGCCTTCAGTCAAGTTGCCTGGCGTTTTCCTCCCCGAGCATGTTGACATTGGTTGTAATATTTTCAAGATTCATACATATGATTTAACACCATTTTGTGGCAGGACAAAGCCATTATATGGCTCTGGAAATGCTTGGCATTGCTGGTCCATGATCAATGGTCCTGAGTCCATCTTTTTGCATGAAAGAACGAAGCAGGAGATGTCAGGAGAAGGAATCGCCTTGAGTGTTAGTTAGCTGAGTGTTGCCCTAGTTACAGAGATTTCATCCCTGCATCTACTGCAGAGTTTCTTGTGAGACGAGGCAAGTTTCTTACAGTACCGGAGTTTTTCTCTCTCTGGGTGTCTAAGTCAAGATTTCTTTACTGCAGCTAACTTACATCTGCAAATAAAACTCTCAGCATTCAGTTGCTATGGAATAAAATAAAGACTAACTGCTTATCCTGTGTGCTGAAAGAATCTGTAGTTATGTAAGAAGAAAAAAAAATATTGGTATCCTGTAATAAGCACAGCATCAGAACATGCACAGAAAGGGAGAAACTAGTACTGTACAAATAATGTTCATTTTCGGGTGTTTCTAACATATTTTGAAGAGCAAGCACTCAAAGCATTGCTGTAATCTATCAGATGTCTAAATTTAAATGGCCTGTAGGTTTTAACAAGCAATGGCATCTGCTTGTAGCATGTAGAGTTTCCTGAGTCTGGAA